AGGTATAGCTCCGCCATACTTAACCTTAGTTTTCTCGCAAGTTCATAATCAAATTCATAAATGTCCGTTCAGCGAGTCAAAATAATCCCTCTAAGATCTGCTTCAATGATATTCACCGTCAACACCCAACTCTCCAAAGTAACGTAATCCTTCTGTGTTATCTCTTCACCATCGTGCTACGTGCACTGCCTATTTCATTTTGCTTGACTTGTTTATCTAATATTTGATAGAAATTAAATTGATAAAGGCTTCTCATTATTACATTTCCCTCAGGTTGTTGTTTTCGCAAATATATTCAAATTACGTTTCATTATACAAAATATCTTGTTTGGATATGAAATATATAAGACAAGTAAATTTATATAGACAGATTTTTGCGAGGGAACAGTCAGGCGGAAAATTTTGGAAACTTCGATACTCCTCTGGTCTAGCCGGAGAGATGCATAAAGCGAAATTTCCCTTTCACTGGAAAATTTTCTACAATGTTCACTGTTAAAGGCAAAAGTACTGATATACAGTCCACTGGTCATCTATGGGCTGAACAACTGGAGAATTGGAATTCGATTCTACATAGGAAAAAGCGATTTTTATTTTCTCCATAACGTTCATACCGACTCTGATATCCACACAGACTCCTAACGAGCGGGTCTATGTCCCCACTCCCCTTTCGTCTTCGTGGCGAGCTGCTTAATGAAACACAGGAAAAACATACCATTCTACTTTTACAATCTTCAAACATTTTGAACAAAACTGTACACAACCAGCTCTATTAGGAATAATGTCGTCTTCTGGGATGTGACGCCGTATATATCTTGTGTAAACCGACGTTTCGGAGGAACTTATCACCTCTATCTTCAGGGTAGAAAAATCCGCAAGCGAGGAACCAGCGCGAGCAGGTAGCTGCTACATAGCTCTGTCAGGGTTCCTAGGATGGCTATGTGAGTCATTTTAAGGCGTATCTAGTCCTCTAGAGCAGGGATGTCCATAATTACTGGGCATCGGAACAGCATATATGTGATGATAATTTTACAGAAGTTCGGGAGCCATCTACAGACTTGGATTGGAAGACGCACGTGTTTAGGTGCAGCCTGCCCTTGCAACGTATTTTTATATTTAATTTATTTCTAAAAATTCGGTTGACTAAAATTTTTCTTCCGTGAGATTCCAAACGATGCAAAGGGGGCCACATGCACTCGCGACCCACAATTTGGTTACATCTGCTCAACACGTATCCGTGCTGTGTTCTTTGTGACTGCTACCTGATCACGTAAATACATTCAGGATGGTAGGAATCTGAAACCGGTTACGGTAGCTGAGCGGTCTAAGGCATGCACAGTGTTCGCTCGCTAGGAAGCCGGGATAGTGGGTTCGAATCTCACACATGTTTTGTATGTGTTTATTCTGATTGTGTTGTCCTGTGTTTAAGTAGAGGACTTGTGACGAGCTGATCACCCGTCCAAGGAGTCCTACCGTCTGTAAAATGTCATGAAAGTGACAGTCAGAGGCCAAGGCCCAAGGGGGCTGTAGATCCAGTGAAAGAAAAAAAAAAGGAATCTGAAGATATTACACTTACTTACTTACTTACTTACTTACTTACTCATGGAGCTGAGCCCTTCTGGAGGAGCCGCCAATTCTGCAGCTACTCAAGAATTCCCCAGCATTTTATTGAACCCGAAGGTTCATTATCGTGTTCACAAGAGCCCTCCACTGGTCCCTATCCCAAGCCAGATAAATCCAATCCATACGATCCCATTCTATCTCTCTAAGACCCACTTTAATATTGTCCACCCACCTACGCTTTGGTCTTCCTTGTGGTCTCTTTCCTTCTGTCTTTCCCATCAATATCCTATATGCATTCCTCGTCTCCCTCATTCGTTCTACATGCCCTGCCCACCTCATTCTCCTTGACTTGATCATTCTAATTACACTTGGAGAAGAGTACAAGTTATGAAGCTCCTCATTATGCAGTTTTCTCTAACCTCCTGTCACTTCATCTCTCTTCGGTCCGAATATTCTCAACACCCTGTTCTCAAACACCCTCAGGAAGATATTACACACAGAAACTAATAAAAGAAACACGTGAAAATACATCATTCCGTTTCTTTCGCAGAAGAGAAAAAGAAATTCCGTTAGTATAAACTTAAAATGAATTCCTAAGGTTGCTGCCGGCATGCTGAAACACTTCGAATCGCCTCTATTAAGGTACTTCAAAGGCAAGGACATTTGTTTCGCAGAGAATTCCTTTAGAGATTGCTCTTTTAACGCTTCATGAGTTAAGGGCTTGTAGACCAAATTTTGAGACACCGTGAGACAGAACATGCACCGCAAACAATAGAAGTCCAAGCTTATCGATTTAAAACGTAGTTTATCCTTTCCTAATGTGGACGTACAATTGGCTTATGTGTTCAAACAACCGTTTAACCTTTTGAAGTCTAGAATAAATCTAATTTTAAGTTCCTTTCTTGCCTTATAGAAAACACATACGTCTCAATTACAATAACGAACCAGTAAAAACGCTTGAGCAGGGATAGCGCAGTCGGTCTGGGATCCGCGTAACCTCCTATCAGATGGGTACCGGGGCACTTTCTCAGGGATAAATTAAAGTGTATTTGTAAGATTTGAGGCTTTCACGGCGGTGACTATGAAGAAAGCAGTCTTATGGGATTTGGCACCGTGCATATGTGGTGTTAACCGACGTTTCGGAGGAACGTATCGCCTCCATCTTCAGGGTAGAAGAAAAAATATAAGAAATCTGCAAGCGAAGAGACCGTGAGAACCCGTAAAAGCAGACTGCTTTCTTTAAAGTGTATTTGTTAGTATAAAAATTCATACAAACAATATTAATTCATAATGATTAATGACGCAAATCAAGAACTAGTACCAGTATACTTGTACGCCTGTAGATGGCCCAAGAAGAGGGCCGAAACATGTAGCATTACCACCAACAGCTAACTGAATGAATGTTGATAAAATAGTGTCTATTTTGTTTCTTTTAGAAATATTGTTGTGTAGGCTGTCCTATTATATACCTTTCGTAACCCCGCTTTGCTTTCTAAAAACACTAAATATTATTCCTTTCGCGAATCTTCCGCCTCCCATGCTGGGACACTGATTGCCTTCTATTTTGAAGACCAGGTATTCCCCTCACGATACTCAATATTATTTTTCTACGTAAGTTTTTCTTGGTCCTTTATAAAAATACTTCGATAGATCATATGAAAATCTAACTGTCACTCATCTCTCCGCTGCATCTATAAACTATTAAGTTTGAGGTGCGACTAGCTGAAAATGTGTAAAGTAACAAAGTTCGTTCAGAATCGTAATATTTATGAAGATCCAGACAACAGCGACTGCGCGGTCTAAGGCATGAACCGTCTTCGCTCGCTCGAACGCTGGGGTCATGGATTCGAAGCCCACTCAAAGCATGGATATCTGTCTGCGTTTATTCTGTGTTTGTGTTGTCCTGTGTAGGCAGCGGCCTTGCATCGAGCTGATCTCCAGTCCAAGGAGTCCTACCGACTGTGTATATATTAAGAAACTGAAGTGAAACGAAGCGTTTTATGGTCGCCCTCTGCTCCAAGTGGAAGCAACAGGAAATCTTTATATAGACAAGATGAGTTAGGGTAGAATAATTGTGTTATCATATTAAATTAACTAAAAATCAAGTCAGATAGTACAATAAGAGTATACAAGTACAAGGTGTCCACTTAACAGGCTCTTTTGGCAGAATGAATTATAAATTACATGCTAAAATATTTCTATTTCAAGCGAGATTAGCGTATTCAAAATATTCGCCCAAATGCAGGAGAACCATACGTCTGTTAAAATACTACATTATGTCTTATATTTTACGCTTATAATCAAAATTCACAACTTATTTTTATTCGGGTGTTCCAAATGTCCATCCCTAAGAAGATTTTCTAGAACGAGTCGTTTCTCTTACCCTCTTTCCGTAATTCGCGAGCCCGATCTATTACCTCCATACATAAAGCCCAAATACAAAACCTATGGGGATACTATTCTGGGTGTGGTAAGGTGGGGGGGGCACTTTACGGCGCTGTCAGTAGTTAGACTTTACAGCGTCGAAAGAAGACGGAAAAGGATTTAGAACTGATCGTGGCTTAATCGAAGCAAAATCCCAGAATTTGCCTGGCGGAACTGAGAGAAATCAGGAAAACCCTCAGCCAAAATAACTGATGTCCCAGCAGAGATTCGAACCAACGCTACTCCTATATCCACTCGTTAGGGAACAGCTATATACAGGTCACTAAAATTATGGATTAGAAGATTAATTACTTCTGAAGCATGTTTCCTTATATATTATTATTATTTGCCTGAAATTAGGTGTTCACCCAGTGGCAGGAGTTACAGAAAAGAACATACTATACATAAAGGGAACAACACAAGACAAAGTACATACAATAAGCAAGGTACACACAGTGCAAATCCAAACATATAAATTCACACAAGGGCACGCGATTTTGTTCATTTCACTGCACTCGAACAAGGACCCTTCACATTACTTCAATTGATTCATTCAACTCCGCCTAAGGCCTCTGTACTTGAAAATGCTTCCCTAACCCTAAAATTGTTTAATTTCCAAGGGGAAAGACGTAATATGCCTGCAGGTAAAACGTTTCAATCTTTCATGGTCCTATTTACATAGGAATATATAGCACCTTATTTAAATATTATTTATGTTAAGGACCACTGTCTTCTGGGATATGACGCCGTGTAGTCCGATGTCTGTCAAACACTCAGAATATTTATTCGAGATAAGTTAGACCGGGAAATTTTTCTCATTACCTGTTACAGCTCCTATATTTATCATAATTATCTTCATAATCACACAAATTATAATTATAGAGGACTGGAAATACATTGATTGGTAAATATCACATCCCAGAGAACAATACTTTTCACAGTCAACGCCGTGAAAACCTGAAAATTCATACTTGTTACAATTTTGAGACTGTAATAAGGTAAATACAAAATCTTACCATTAATTATTCTTCATCTGCTGCCTGTTAAACCCAATTTCAAATAATCGGACGAAATCTCTCACATTTTTCTTTAATATTATTCCCGAAAAAAAAAACTGACACACATTTCATTCAGTCATTACATCACTCAAAGTTTCCACGCAATAACACTTTGTTAACAGTACCACCTGGACACTTATGAATAACGATGCTGAGGGCCGTCTGGACGCTGACGTCGGCTGTATCTCGAAGAGCAGAAACTCTCCTCGGGTAGCTATAGGCAGTAGCGACACGATGCAACTACACGGTGACCGACGCCAGCCGTCAGAATCGCAATGCTTAACGTAGTGCGCCTGTGCTACAGCCACTCGCGCCAAACAGCCCATTCCCATACTTAAAATATTTACGTATCGGGTCTTTGCAACAGCGAAACTAAATTGTGCCATTAAACATGCAGAAAAATTAGGCGCAGTTCGATACATAAGGAAAATTACTGGATTTGCAGTTTCCACGGAAATGTCTTCTGGGTTTTAATGTCATGTATTTTAGAAAAAGTCCCAAAGTTTCGGACTAATATTTCGCCTCCATCTTCAAAATCGAAGATTAAGCCAAGAAAGAAGGTAACAGAAACAGGTGTCAAGTTGTGATTCAATGTGAAACCAATAGATGCAGGCGGTAACCTAAGGTTCAGTTTGCCCATCTGTTTACTTTTCGACCCTGAAGATGGAAGCAACAAATACCTCCGAAATTTCGGACTGTTTCAATTACATGACGTTATGATCTAGGAGGGAGTACTCGGCTTCAAGTAGTTTCCTTCTCCAATAATCAAACATCCCCCCTTTTGGGGGCTCCCTTCTGGTTCTGAAATATTGTGGAGCGTAATATATGGATCCTTTAGGAAATTCGGAAAAGGTCGTTAAATTTGTTTTCCACGTTTTATTCTCCTCCATTTGTTTCGTGCCCATTTGTTTTGTCCGCTATTTCATGGAATACTAGGCTGCACAAGCCGGTCACGGTAGCCGAGTGGTCTAAGGCATGCACTGTCTTCGCTCGCTCGGAAGCCGCGATCATGGGTTCGAATCCCACTCAGGGCATGGATGTTTCGTATGTGTACATGTTTATTCTGTATTTATGTAGAGACCTTGCGACGAGCTGATGACCTGTCCAAGGAGTCCTACCGCCTGTAAAATGATCATGAAACTGAGAAGTCATAGGCGAGGGCCCACGGGAGCTGTAGTCAGTGTAAAAAAGAACAAGCCTGTAAAATACCCATTTTTACACTATAACCGCCTCTGTGCTAGAAATGATTTATATCGTTTTGACCGAGTAAGTTACTCGAAGAGATAACACTTCTGTATCGGGGTGGGGGAAGGGTTACGTGGTTCGAGTCTTGGATGTGACATCATATAACCTGACTGTATACTGTGTTATTCCTCAGTTCTTCCCAGCAACGATAGTACCTTGAATTACACTACGCCCGCTTCCTTCATAATCCTTTCCAGTTCATTATACATTACGACGAAATCATCCGGCTCTAAGTAACATCAGCTACTCATAGCGTCATTAAGTAAACTACAAATGTATGACAGGCTTATCATAGTTATCCTCAGTCTCTCCAGCTAAACGACGGTATAGTTCCCCAAATTATGCCACCACCGCATCATTCAAAATCCCTCCCATTTCTTTAATTATGCTACCAAAAACTAAACTCCGTGGCCTGTAGTCCGCAAGCGAACTATACCGACCGAGCGACCGCAGCTTGTCGGTGAAGTTAGCGCCAAATCTAGCGGATAGAGGGTGTCACATGGTCAGCGCAACGAATCCCCACTGCGGTTAATCTCGATTTTCCAGACCGGAGCCGCTAGTTCCTTGAAATAGCTCCTCAGTTATCCTCACGAGACTAAGTGGGCTCCGTTCCAGACTCACTACTTCTCAGAAAATCTGGTATCGCCGAAAATTGACCAGGAAATCTGACCACTAGACCATAGAGGCTACCAAGAGACGCTTTTTATTCTGATGTACAGCATCGTTAAGTGAATCATGAATATATAAAATTGACATTTGACAGGAGAATATACTACAATGACAGACTCTGATGAATGCGTTGTATTTGAACTTTTTAAAACAAAATCAGAAGCATTTCATACAAAAGCAAACTTCTGTTGTTGTCTAACCAGTGACAGGAGGGGGCGCAGAGACGCATCCTCTGTAGCTACAGCTATTCAATTCGGTGTACAGACAAAAAAAAATCTCTTCTGTGAGAAAGAACGCGATGGGTTTGTAACCTGAATTCACTTTTCATCAAATCTATATGAATTCAGAGCACTTTCATTTGAATGCGTCCATCACTGCGTGTTTTACTTGCACTTTCTATACAAAGAGTCCTTTCAACTGTCGAGATTACAGAACTGAGGCATTCGTAGCGGTTCAATACAACTGGACGTTAGAATACCGTGTTCCCGATAATCCTGACGTCACTACAGCCTCTATCTTCAAGGTGAAGTGACTATCTAATGGTCCTTACATTTAAATACTTCATCAGATCCGTTACAATTCACATCTTGGGGTACGGGCGTTTGATTCCTTGATCCTACATTCCAGAATCCTACTTAAATTATAACTCTTGTAGTCTGGAAATCATGTAGTATACATTTATTTAATTTTTCTTTATATTTAATTATAAACAATTAAGGTATCCTTGTAATAGGCCATGGAGGTCCATAGGATTGCAAACGTCGAGGTTCCCATATTTTATAGACAAACGACTCACAGATGGCGGTGAGGTTGTCAGCCTTACGCGCAGAACGCCTTTTACACACACGAAGATTCCTGGTACTCATTTCTGTTAGAGGCTGAGTCGAACCAAGTGCCATAGTGCGGCTGGAAGGATTAGGTAAATTGAAAAAAAAATTCAATGATCTCAACAGGAATCGAACCCGCGACCTTTCGGCTTGTAGCATAGTGCCTCAACCAACAACGCTACCTTAAACATATATATTTCCATTTTCCTGCATTTTTTTCCTTGCAGCCTCCTATCCTCCTGGTACCTATTTATACGTCGAAATTCTTAAACCTCTTGCCCAAAATCATGTCCCTCCCAAATATCTGGCTCCCGTCTTCTTATGGCCCCGACCAATTAGTTCCTTTGCTGTACAGATCAATGTGACTGCCATGAATTGATAGACATTCTACTGTAAGTATCGCTAGGTACTCTTCTCCAAGCATAATTAGAATGATCAAGTCAAAGAGGACTTGATGGGCAGGGCATGTAGCACGAAGGGAGCAGAAGAGTAATGTATATAGGATATTGGTGGGAAAGCCAGAAGGAAAGAGACCACAGGGAAGACCAAGGCGTAGGTGAGTGGACAATATTAAAATGGATCTTAGAGTAATAGGATGGGATGATATGGATTGGATTGATCTAGCTCGGGATAGGGACCAGTGGGGGGTTCTTGTGAACACGGTAATGAGCCTTTGGGTTCCATAAAATACTGGGAAGTTCCTCAGTAGCTGAACAATTGTCGGCTTTTCAAGAAGGGCTCAGCTCCATGTGTGAGTGAGTGAGGGCCAATCTCGTTTAGTTGCTGTCAGCACCAAGACTACACAGTGCTGATTAATAACATGACTACTGAATGTGGAGCAGTTGGTGAGAATGAGAAATGTTAGGGGATATCGAAACATTCGGATAATAGCTGCCCCAGCACCATTTTGTTTACCATAAATCCCACATGACCTTATCTGGGATCAAACGGGGCTCACCGCTGTGGGGATCCAACGGTTAACTGCGTGGTCTCTGCTACGGCTTACAGGGGTCATCAAGTCACGCCTAAATTAAATATAACAGTGTATTTAAATTGGAAACTCAAATCCCAAAATTATATTGATAATACTATTATATTATAATATAAATTATAATATTATAATACTAACCTAACTAAAATGAAACCTGTTTCGATCTCGTATACATAATGCCCTACTATGAAAATGAATAAAGCGCTTTGGTAGGAAAACCTGAAGGAAAGAAGTTACCTGAAATACCTAGGTGTAGATGGAAATTGCAGTCAAATTATTTTCTTAAAGAAATAAAATGGGGTGGTGTAGACTGGTTTCATGTGGCTCAGGACAGGGCTTCTGTGAAAAAAAAATTAATCCAACTTATGTAGATGATTCAATAAATAACCGGTAAGAAATATTTTCAGTGCCCAGGAATTAGCTGAAACTACTGATGTCAGAAAGTTGTTTTGTGTCACAGATATGCCGCTTATGAATTAAGTAGACCTGTTACAAACCCTGACTCAGCCATATCCCGTAATCACACTGGTGACTTTAAATGTCACTAAAACATAGAGGGTTTATCTTTAAAATAACAAACCACACTTAACAGTTCAACGGCGACGAAACAATTTATGACTTAGCCTCAACTAAAGGTCTGCTGCCAGATCATGAACATGTTTCTATTGGATGCCTTAACATTACCACAAGAGTTGTGCCTTGAAAAAATATAATCAGAAATAAATTCTAAAAACACTCTCTCCTAAATACAATATATAGAATTAACGAAGAGGGTTCTGATGTTAGCTACGGTGTTGATTATTTCTGGAGCCGGGATAGCTCAGTCCGTATAGCGACGGACTACGGGCTGGAAGGCCGGGGTTCTATTCCCAGCAGGGCAAAATTGTTCTTTTCTCTACAGCGTCCAGACCGGTCCTGGTGTCCATTCAACCTCTTGCCCAATGGGTACAGTGGACTTATTCCCGGGAGTGAAGCTGACACACACCTTCAACTAGTACCGAGGTCAAGAATGGTGAAGTTATAGTACATTTCTCCGTACGTCTTCATGGCAGTGTCTTTAATTAATTAATTACTAACAATTAATTAGAGTATTCTATATTTAGGACAATAATTTGTCCACGGGAACGAAACAAAATCACAAAAACCAACGACTGACTCGATGATGTAAAGCAAGGATTCCAAACTACGGCCCGCGGGCCACATCCGGCCCGCGATGTGATTTTATCCGGCCCGCGAAAGAATTGTGCAGAAATGCGCCAATTGAACATATTTTCCAATGAGTACTGGTAAAAATATACTTGTTCATAGACTTCAACCGATGTTTGTAATACCTCTCAACTACTAGTATTTTTTCGTGGCGTCGACGATGAACTTAATGCCACACAGGAATTAGCGTCACTTCACAGCATGCATGGCACTACAACAGGAGACGATATCTTCAAAGAAATACACAAAACACTAACAGAAAATGATTTGGACTGGAACCGTCTGCAGTGCGTGACA